TTGCCTGCTCTCAGAGGGGAGTACAAAGCAGTTGACGGCGGGAGGAAGCGAGCATCGCTTGCTTGGAGAGCTAATAAAATTGGAGTGGTGTATGAGTGCTGTTTACAGCTAGGACGTGGTGAGGATCGAGGATGCTTCATTTGCCTCAAAACTGATCCCATGTGGCAGGAGGACTAACAGCTCCTAGAGTTCAAGTTTCTTTGAAATATCTCTTGGTTCAAAGAACTAAAACTCTTCTTGGGATTGGGATTATGTTTATTGTACCTGGGTACTGATGCCCAGCAGTTACCCATAAACGTTAGGGGCCCATGGAGGCCCTTTGCTCCCCTGCAGTCTCTCTGACCCCTCTGGTGTCCATCTCTTAGGAAGGCACTTTCTTTATGGCTCTTCAGAATGACCTTACCAAACCCTCTCTTCAACTGGGGAGCAGTATTTCAGCATTTCCCACAGCGCTTGGCATTGGCCTTGTGTCTGAAACGTTGGTGCGTTGCTGGGGAGTGGCCTGTATCATCGAACTAAATACTCTTGGGCTTCACCTGCAACCTCTTTGCTTGAGGACAGAAGGTGGGAACATGAACGCGGGAGCTGAGTCTCTCTAACGCCGCCACGTTTTGCTTTGACTGGGTGCCAGCATGGAGGGGGATGAGACTCCCTTTCTCATCAAACAGTCAAAACTTTGCCCGGGATGAAAATTTGGTACCTAAAACTACAGGATGCGGTGTGGCTGGAAATAGAAATGCCATCTGTAATTGCAGTTGGCGCTGCCTACTCCGCTCCCTCGGTGAAATCCAGGGGAAGACTCCAGCGACTTGAATAAGGTCTGGAATTGCCTCATGGCCTTCTGGTCATCGCTATCTAGACAAGACCTCATCTGTGATACTGTTAAACAAGGGGAGGGATTAACTTTTTGTCTGAAAACCATAACGAATCATTAGGCAGAGTCTCGTTGTCAAAGGTCTTGCTTTATACGCTGCGGTTCATTACGTCGTCCCCTAAATCTTTCTGCTCTTTTTGTGTTGCTGTGCTGGAAGGACTGAGCGTACGCGAGCGCTGCCGCTCCTGCTGCAGGCTGTCTGTTCTCGGTCCGAGCTGTTCTCATGCGGCGGGACCACGATGGTCAGTGCTCGTGTCATGCTTCCCGAGGTGGGAAAAAGGATTTTATTTTTTGTACCCTCTGTCATGGGACTTCATCGCTTGCTTGAGTGCGATGAAGGACTTGATTTGCTCGAGCTGTTATTCCCTCCCAGCAAGCCTGGCTGGAGTAAATCATCAGAGCATGGCATATTCACCCTGCGTGCTCGAGGTGCCGGGACGCTCGAGCAAGTAAAAACGGGTAACTGCAGTAGCAGCATTTAAGCTTCATCCTTGATCTTGCTCCCTCAAATGCTGCTTAACTCTGGTTAAAGACTTTATTATATCAAGAGCGCTTGGATTGGACCCAAATTCCCATTAGCTAGATCTGGAGTATAAATAAACCCGATGCCCAGAATACGCTGTCCTCGCCAATGAAAGAATCATGGTCAAAATCCATGGCTCCTGTACGAACGCTGCTCTGTTCAAAGGAGCAGCAGGGCTTCATCCTTCTGGACTGTCTCGGCTGTGTTCGTGTGCACGGTTTGGGACAGCTTTAGCGGGAGGGACGTGGTCTCCGTTCCTGAGGGCTGCCTTCGCTGGTGTGAGCTCCGGGATGCCGCATGGGTGGCTTCTGGTGAGGAGAAGGGGCAGGGTGAAGCAGCACCTAGTGCGTCAGGGCAGTCGGGTTGGCTGTGCCAGGCAGAGCCTGCGGAGTAGGAAAGCGTGGGGCCGAGAGGAGCTCAAAAGGCCAGACCTGGAAGTCAAGATGGGGGGATGTTTGCCCAGTCGCACGTTAGCCTAAGGAAAACGCTGCCCGTTCTTACCAGTCGGACCGCTGCAGGTGTGGTGCCAACAGTAAAACCTGGCCACGAGATGCCAGGAGATGTGGGGTGAAAGGGAAGAGAAGCCCTTGCTCCGCAGGAGACCTGGGTCATTGCAGATACGGTGGGTTTCTGAGCTGTAGGTGCAGAGCAGAAGGGGTGGAGCAGGTCTGCAAACTGCGAGAACGAAGGAAATGCTGAGAATGGTAAGAAGAAACTGATGGCGTGGCCTGGATTAGGCCAGCCCTTTCCTTCCCTCCATACTCGAGCCACTCCGTGTGCGTGTGGGTGTACAGATAGGTGCAGCGCCTGTTGCCGTTCTGTCGGCCTCCTGCAGCTGGCTTGCACAGGTTGCGTGCTGCCTTCCGCCTGCCCGAGGTGAGCTGCCAGCCCCCCTGCCTGCCGGCGGCGCTGCAGCAGCTGGAGAAACAGCTGCCCTTGCTCGAAACTAGAAAACCAGAACAAAACCTCCCGTGTTGCACGTGTCACATCTGCTTAGCTGCCCCGTCAGACCAGCGTGCCTCGTGCTGCGGTACGTCACGCCTAAACCAACTTGTTATTTCGCAGGGTGGCCCTGTACCTAATTCTGTCCATTCGGGAGGATTGAGTTGTATTCCTTTCCTTGCATTTTCCTAAGGTGGAGCTGAAGCATTTCCATCGGTTGCTCCTCGACTGTTCTGTCCCGAAGGGTGTAACTCAGGTTTTCACTAACGTTTGCAATTCCCGAGTCCTAGGACCGCAGTGACACTGGAGCTGCACTGAAACACCTGAAAGCTTCGAGGCCCTTCCAAGGCAGTACGGCCATACGTCGGTTAAAGTGGTTTCTCAGAACAGGCATCAGACTGGTAGCACTGCACGTTGCTGCTGTGGAATCCGTCGTGCCGGGGCTTCAGCAGCGGCGGGAGGCCTTGTCGTTGGCGCAGAGCGGCGGCGCTTTGCTGATGCTGCTTGCGCTGGCCCTGGGCACGGCAGGAGCTGGGGGCTGGTGACGCTCGCTGCCCTCTGGCGCGTGGGGCTCTTCTGCCAAGTGTGGAGGTAATCACTGGAAAAAACCTACGGAGAGTCCGGGTAGTTTGTGGAAGTGTGTAAAACTGGAAGCATTTGCAGTTTTTTAAAAAAACTTGATTTGGGTTGGAAAAGCTGCTCGGAGCGTTTTATGGCTTTATTGTTCTGTCTTTACACTTTTTTTGCAAAGAAAGTACTTTATTAAAACCTGTCATCAATGGACTAGTACAGCAAGGTTTCTGGAAAAGCAGCAGGCAGGCTAGCAACCTGTAGAAGTCACATTTGTAAGACGCTTGCTTTAGAGTAGTGCTGGGAGAAAAATGCCCGTTCAGCATCTTCTCGTGCTGCTTTGTAGCTTGCGTGTGCGTCGGGCACTGGGCGCTGGGCGAGGCGTCCTGGCCTGGCTCCAAAGCACCGGGTGCTGCCTCGGCTCTGCTCGCCGTGCTTTTATCAGCCCAGGCTTCTGTTGTTAGTGGGAGGGGGCTGTGGCCGGACCCAAGGCTCTGGCCGTGCCAGGATAATGGTTATGTCCCTGCGGAGCCTGACCTGCTGGTGTGCTGGGCCACCACGCTGTCCCCATCCCTCGCCATGGCTACCCTGAGCACAAAGGCTGCTTGCCCCTAGCCCGGGGCAAGGGATGGTTGCCTCTCTCTTAAGGGAAGCCTGTCCGTGGGCCGGGAAGTCACAGAGTCCCAGACTGGCAAGGGTTGGAAGGGACCTCAGGAGCTTATCCAGTCCCACCCCCCTGCTCAAGCAGGTTCTCCTAGAGCATGTTACACAGGCCTTCATCCAGGCGGGCTTTGAATATCTCCAGAGAAGGAGACTCCACAGCCCCCCTGGGCAGCCTGGGCCAGGGCTCGGGCACCCTCACAGTCAACAAGTTCTTCCTCATGTTCAACTGGAACCTCTTCTCTTCTCCAGGCTGAACAAGCCCAGCTCCCTCAGCCTTTCCTCCTAGGGGAGATGCTCCAGTCCCTTTACCATCCTTGTTGCCCTCCTCTGGAGAGCTCCTCGGAGCAAGGCCATGGCCCAGCTGCTGTGGGCAAGGCCTGTGCTTCGCAGCCCTGCTGCCTCCTCCTCCTCCTCCAGGTGTGGGATACCCCAGGCAGTGCTAACCGGGGTTGTGCGATTGTGTTGGCTGCTCCTCGGGGCTGCTGTGGCTGCTCACTCCCCTCCCCTCCCCTCCTGCCCGCGGCCGAGAGCTGGAGAGGGGCCCGGGGGTGCTGCTGCCGCCTCAGAGACGTGGCTGGAGGGGCACGGGTATGGGCACAGCTTGGCTCACTGCCATGCCTGCCGGGAGAAGGCCAGGAGATGCTGAGCCTGATGTTCGGGGACTCACGATGGTGGCACCAGGGATGGACATCTCTGAGCCATTTGCTTGGGTGGTGCCGAGCTCCCAGCGGAGAAGGGGTGGCTGTGGTGGTGGCTGCCCGCCCAGCTGGGCTCCTGGTGCACCGGGGCAGCCATCCCGGTAAGGGTGGCTTTGCCTCCCCCATCCTGCTGGGCCATCCCAGTAAGGGTGGCTTTGCCTCCCCCATCCCGCCGGGCCATCCCGGTAAGGGTGGCTTTGCTTCCCCCATCCTGCCGGGCCATCCCAGTTAGGGTGGCTTTGCCTCCCCCTTGTTCCTGCAGCTCCCCGCTCCCCTTCCCCCC